TAGGCAACGACCATGATGCTCGACATAAAGAAATCGAAGCTTACATACACTCAGTCAAGAGCGCTACTTTGAAGGCTGAAACGGCGAAAGCGTTGACACGTCTGCGCTCCCTGGCCCTCACCTTCCTCAACTCCTCCATGGTGGACTCCCTTCGGAAGTTGTTTTCCAACATAACATGTCCATTTACTCTCTATGAGTCTATTGTGTCCCGTTTCGAAAATAACCCTCTCATTAGCGATCCTGCGGTACTAAACGCCCAGTCACAGAAGATCAAGTATCGCAAAGGTGACTGTCTCGACACTCTGTTTGCCGACGTTAAGTCCATCGCCAGCCAATACCGCTCGGCCATGATCCCCACCATCCTGGATACCCCTGCGGTCGACTACGACGCCTTCCTGTGGACTAACCACTACATGGTGAAACTGTCGGAGGTGTTTTCAGACGACAAGCAAATTTGGGACCTAATTCGAGCTATTTCGAGCAATGCAAAGGCCTCAGGACAACCCTGTTCCGTTGCTTCCATCGACGCCGCCATCAAGGACGCACTGGCGACACATCATTTGCGGTTGCTGGCTCTTGGCGAACACGGTTCCGCCGATTCGGCATCGACGCGGTCACATCTGATTAATGCCGCTGTTGGTGAGCCTGTACATCCTAGCCTTGGGCTGGTAGCACGTCGGTCGCTGCCATCGTACGCCCACGTCAAGTGCCATGACCATATTGGACCCGCATGCTTCTACTGCGGTGACTCGGAGCATGTTCTCACCACCTGCAAAGTCCTGCTCTCGGATTATTCCCGCAATGCGAGGCGTGAAGGTTTCCCTCAAACCATTTTCGAGAAGCACGGCAAAAAGCTGCGCCGCCTGTCATCGCGCAAGATACGCCATGACCACCCCCTCCATGACCGACGTGACCGCGACGACAGCGACGATCGCGGCGGGGACGGTTCTGGTGCGGGGCATAGTCGCGGTCACAACCCCCCAACCAAACGAGACGCCCCGCGTAGTCGTAGCCGAGACCGGGGTGGCGATAATCGCACTCGGAATTGGAGTGACGAGGGCTATGGCGGTCGCAGCCGCAAGGTGCGCTCTAACGATGCTCCCGCCTCAAATCGTCGTATGCGCTCCGTTTCTGTCGGCACGGACCGCGGTGGCCGCAGTGGTCGTGACATTCGACTTGTCTCCGTGACATTCGACTTGTCTCCTCCTTGACCGACTGTGACGGCCGCAATGGACCGTCGTCCACCGAGCTTCCAATTGCTACGAGCGCCTGAGCTTGCGCTGATGCAATTGACGAGCGCCCTGCCAAACGAATATGTCGTTCTCCGCAACCTCGGGTTCCCTCTAGCCTCCCTCACTGCCGACTAGTCTCGGCAGTGGCCCACCCCTGCCGGCCCCAGCACTTAATCCCTGGACTCCAGTGTGGCTCTGCTAACGTCTGGCACTGATGGTATGGTCGCGTCGGACATCCGGGTCAAGGTATACCCCCCCAAGAACACTGGGATCTGCCTCCGCAACCCGTCCTGGACAACGTGCTGAAGTTGCCTCAACTGGCTCGAACGCTGCCTTCAGTGCTTCGTGGTGCGCCTCCCAACACGCCTATACGCATACACTTTGACTTACCTCCGGTTTGTGTCGACGCAACTGTGCAGCATCCTCCGTTCCCTGTTGTTTTGGACTCGAACAAATTTGCTCTCAAGGTCGTGCTTAGCAATTGCGCTCCTGCTTCGGGCCAGCCTGACCTTCCATTCTCCGTGATTTATCCTCCTGGCAAGTTTGCTGCTCTCGCGCAACACTGGATTGTGGATTCTGGTGCCTCGAGTTCGTGCACCTTACATCAAGACTACTTCGCGAACTACGTGCTCTGCACCTTGTCGTTGACCGTCGGAAACGGGTCCAAACTGCCCGTGGTGGGATACGGGTCCCTTGCTATGGATACTTTGATGTCGTCACGCGAACGCGCCACCCCCTTGCGCTCCCGTGCTTCGCGCCTGACGTTTGGCCTGCGCTGCCCTCTGTTGCGCTTCAACCTGCTCTCCGTGAGCCACGCCACCGATGATGGCTATGTCATCACATTCCCTCCCGAGGTATGTGCACCATCACGACCCCCCTTGGTGATGTCCTTGAGGCCTCCAATAACGCCATGGGTCTGTACTCCTTTCATGCCATCCCCTATGGGCGATGCACACCTGTCAAATCGCCTCCTGCGATCGACCCCCTCGATGCCAAGGTTCTCCTCACGAAGTTTCGTTCGTTTGAACAGCGCAATGCGGATTTTTGCAAGTCCCGCGTGTCCAATGCCGTAATGGATCAATTGCATTTGCATGCTTA